CTCCTCCCACAGCCTCCTCCTCCCACGCAGCTCCTCCTCCCACAGCCTCCTCCACCCACACAGCCTCCTCCTCCCACTCAGCCTCAGCCTCCCACGCAGCTTCTCCTCCCACAGCCTCCTCCTCCCACGCAGCTCCTCCTCCCACAGCCTCCTCCTCCCACTCAGCCCCTCTTCCCACTGAGCCTCCTCCTCCCTTGATGATGTCTCCTGCCTCCAGAGCTGTGCCTTTTCTAGGCATCTCATGCACAGGGTGCCTCAGACGCTGCTTTTCACAAATGGGGGGTCTGGCACCCTGCACCAGGCACGTCTGGGGCCCTTCTCCAACAGCACATGCCCACCTCGTGTGTCTGTCACGTTTTAATCATTCTCACGATGTTCCACGCTTTCTCATCGCTATCATATCTGTGGTGATCTGTGATCTTTGGGGTCACTGTTGTCATTGTTTTGGGGTTCCACTAACTGTGCCCATGTACAATGAACTGAATGGATAAAAAGCTGTGTGTCCTGATGACTCCACTGACCAGCTGTTCTCCGTCTCTCTCCCTGGGCTCAGGTCTCCTGCTCCCTGAGACACAACCATACTGAGACGAGGTCAATTAAGAACCCTACAATAGCCTCTAAATGTTCAAGTAAAAGTTCAGCTGCATGGAAGTCACAGGCCTCTCACTTCAAAACTAGCAATGATTAAATCTGGTGAGGAAGGTCTGCCGGAAGCTGAGACGGGCTGACAGCTCAGCCTCCCACACCAAACAGTCAAACTGTGAATGCAGAGGAAAACTCTAGATAGAAATGAAAACCGCTGCCCCAGTGAACACACAGAAGAGAAGAGCGCGAAACAGCCTCATTGCTGATGTGGAGAAAGTCCAAGTGGTCTGCTCAGAAGCCAGAGCAGCCACCACCTTCCCTGAAGCCACAGCCTCATCCAGCCCAGGGCCATAACTCTCGAGTCCTATGAAGGCTGAGAGAGGTGAGGAGGCTGCAGAAAATAAGTCCAAAGCTAGCAGAGGTTGGCTCCTAAGGTTGAAGGAAGGAAGCCACCTCCTCATTATAAAAGCGAAGGTGAAGCAGCACGTGCTAGTGGAGAAGCAAGTTCTCCGGGAGATCTGGCTGAGATCTGGTGAAGGGGGCTGCCCTGAGCAGCGGGTTTTCAGTGCAGACAGAACAGCCGTCTATTGGAAGGAGATACCGTCTAGGACTCTCCTAGCTGGAGAAAAATCAGTGGCTGGCTTCAAAGCTTCAAGAACAGGCTGACCCCCTTGTTTGGGGGCGAATGCAGCTGGTGGCTTTAAGTGGAATCCAGTACCACCCTGAAAACCCCAAGGTCCCCAGGAATGATGCTCAGTCTCCTTTGCCTGTGCTCACCTGTGGAACACCAAAGCCTGGATGACACACCTCTGTTCACAGCATGGTTTAATGAGGTTTTTTTTTTTTTTTTAGACAGAGTCTTGCTGTGTCACCAGGCTGGAGTGCAGTGGCGTGATCTCGCCTCCCCGGTTCCAGCGACTCTTCTGCCTTAGTCTCCCTAGTAGCTGGGACTACAGGTGCGAACCATCATGCCCAGCTAATTTTTTGTATTTTTAGTTAGAGATGGGATTTCACCATGTTGGCCAGGATGGTCTCGATCTCTTGACCTCATGATCCGCCCGCCTCGGCCTCCCAATGTGCTGGGATTACAGGCATAAGCCCCTGCACCCAGCCTTACTGAAGATTTTAAGCCGATTATTGAGACTTACTGCTCAGAAAAAAAAAAAAAAAAAAGGATTCCTTTAACAATCTTACTGCTCACTGACAATGCACGTGGTCACCCCATGCAGGTGCCAACATTATTCTTTAAGACGTGATGCTGGTACACACTTCACAGGCTCAGGACAGTGTGGGCATCACTGTTCTATGTGGTGGACACCACAAACTCCAGTGGCTTTCTTTGGCCCTACTGGCTGCATCCCAGGGGCCTGAGGCTGAACCTGCCACATCTTGGAGGTGTGCCTGCAACGGAACCAGTGTCTGTGGTCCTGTGTGTATGGCTGCTTCCACTGAGTAGGGGTTTCCGGGGTGAGCTGTGTCCTGCCATGCTCAGTGCTCATTTCTTTTGGGGAGGAAGGGTACACTAGGGTAAGGATGAGCCCCACCTTTTCTCTCCATTCACTAGCTGCTGGGCACTGTGGCTGTTTCAGATGCGTGGCTACTCTAAAGAACGCCATGAAGAGCCATGGGAAAGCCTTTGTGTGGATGTACATGTCTGCTTCCTGGGCACACACCCGGCTGCGGAATTGCTGGGTCACATGGCAAGTTTCCTCTAAGACGTTCCTCTTGGGAACTGCCTGAGTGGCTATGCAATTTGACATTCCTTCCAGTGAGGCATCAGGGTTCCAAGTTCTCCTCGTCAACTCTCAGATTTGCTGTTGTCTATCTTGCCTACCAGAGCCACTGGAATGGACATAAAATAGTATCTTATTGTGACTTAAATGTGCATTCCCTAATAACTAGTGACGCTGGGTATTTTTCCTATACTTATTATCCATTCCTGTATCTTGTCTGGAGAAATGTCTGTTCAGATCTTTTGCCCAGTTTTTGATCAGGCTTTTTGCCTTATTATTGAGCTGCAGGTGTTCTTTGTACATTCTGGATATAAGCCCTTTATCAGACACTTGTTTTGGAAATAGATTCCTCTAGTCTACTGCTTATCTTTTCTCTTTCTTAATAGTACTTTTGAAACATAAACATTTTAAATTTTGATGAGGTTCCATTTACCAAGCTTTTGTTTTATGAGCTGCGCTTTTGACGTCATAGCTAAGAAACCTTTGCCTGATCCAAAGTCTTGAAGAGTTCCTCATGTGCCATCTCCAGAATGTTTTACTATTTCAGCTCCTACTAGTCCATGATCAAGTTAATTTTTGGTGCATAGTGTGTGGCTTTTTTGCACGTGGCTAGCCAAATGTCCCAGCACCACTTGTTAAAAAGGCTGTCGTTTACTCCAATTAAATGGGCTTGGAGAGTCTTTGTCAAAAAATCAACATATCATAGATATAAGAATTATTTTTGGGCTTTTAATTCAGCTCCACTGATCTATGTGTCCTATGCCGACACCACGTTGTCTTGGTTATTATAGCTTCAGAGTAAGTTCTGAAATTGGGAAGTGTAATTCCTCCAACTTTAGACTTTAGATTTCAAAATTGTTTTGGCTATTCTGGGTCTCTGAAATTCCATATAGATTTTAGGATAATTTTGTGAATTATAAAGAAAAGCCTGCTGGAATTTTGATGGAGATTGCACTGATTCTACAGATCAGTCTGGAGAAAGTTGCCATCTTCACGATATTGAGTCTTCTGTACCATTAACATGCAAGGTTCTCCTATTTATTGAGATCTTACCCTTCCTTCAGCAACGTTTTGTAATTTTCAGAGTATAAGTCCTCAACTTCTTTAAAGTTATTCATAAGTATTTTATTCTTTTTAATGCTATTGTAGATGGGATTTTTTTCCCTTGATTTCATTTTTGGGTTATTCTTTGGAAACACAATTCATTTGTACCCTGGCCTCACATCTTGCAACCTTGCCGTACTTGTTAGTTTTAACGGTGGGTTTTACTTTACATTTTTGGAGGGTAGGCAGATTTCACAGGATTTTCTACATATAGAATCATGTTGTCTTCCAATAAAGACAATTTTGCGTCTTCCTGTCTATTCTGGATGCCATTTATTTTTGTTTCTCACCTGGCTGCACTGGCTGGAACCTCCAGTGCAAGGTGGAGTAGCAGCAGTGAAAGTGGCCATCCCTGCCTCCTTCCTCATCCTAAGGGAAGAAGGTCCTCAGTCTTCGATGATTCAATGTGATTGTTCACCGTCGGTTCTTGTGTATGACTTTAATCACACACAAAGGTTAAGAAGTTCCCTTGCATTCTAAGTTTGTCAAGAGATCTTATAATAAGTTGGTGCCAGATTTTGTTAAATTCTTTTTTTTTGCATTTATTGAAATGATCATGTAATTTCTGTCCTTTTTCTATTAATATGATACATCTCATGACTTCATTTTCTGATGTTAAACTAACCTTGCATTACTGGGACAAATCCCACTTGGTCATGTGTAAAATCTCTTTTTTATGTTGTTGGATTCAGTTTGATAATTTGTTGTGGATTTTTGCTCCTGTATTCATAAAGGATATTTTTCTACAGTTTACTTTCTAGTGATACCTCTGATTTTGGTATTAGGGCTACACTGGCCTCAGCATTAGAAGTGTTCCTTCTTCATTTCCTGAAGAGTTTGAGTACTGGCACTGGAATTACTCTTGTAATGTTTGAGAAAATTAACCAGTAAAGCTTTCTGGGTCTGGGCTTTTCTTTGCGGGAATATGTTAAATTATTAATTTCTCTTATTTCCCTGCTATAGGTCTATTATGCTTTTCTATTTCTTCCTGAGTCAGTTCAGGTAATTCGTGTGTAAGAACGTTTCCATTTCATCTGGGTTGTTTAATCTGTTGGCCTAAGGCTATCTATCGTTCTCCCTTATAACCTTTTGATTTTGAGGGGTTAGTAGTAATGTCCCCTCTTTAATTCCTAACTTTTCTCATTAGAAAAACTCATTAAAGTTTTGTCAATTTTGTTGTTCCTTTCAAATAACTAACTTTGGTTTTACTGATTTTTCTCACATTTCTATTTCATTGCCTTTGCCTTGGGTTTAATTTTCTCTTCTTTGTCACCATTTTTAAGGGAAAATCTTAAATTATTGCTTTGAAATCCATCACCTCATGTAGGCATTTAAAGCTATACATTTCCCTCTAAGTACTTACCTGCATCGCACAAATTTTGATATGTTGTATTTTCATTTGCATTTAGTTCAGGATAATTTCCAATTTCGCTTACACTTTCTAAGTTCACTAATTAATTATTCAGACATGTGTTGTTTAGTTGCCAAATACTTGTGGTAATTTCTATTGTGGATTTTCAGTTGAAATCCATTGTGATCAGAATATTTTGGGAATTTATTAAGGCTTGTTTTATGGCATAGTAGGAAGTCTATCCTGGAGAATATTCTATGTGCACTCCACTGTGTAGAGTGTCCTGTAGATGTCTGGTAAAGTTGGCTGATGATAGTCTTAAGTGTTTCATATCCTTTTGATTTTCTGCCTAGTTGTTCTATCCATAAAGAGTGATATATTAAAGTCTCCAGCTATCGTTTTCTAACGATATATTTCTCCCTTTAATCCTGCCAGTTCTTGTTTCCCGTATTATGGGGCCGTGTTACGTGCAAATGTGTTTATAATTGTTACATCTTCCTGCTCAACATATCAGTTTTGTAATGATAAAAGGGGGCATTACCATGGATGTATCAGTTTTATAATGCTAAAAGGGAATATTACCATGGATGCGTCATTGCTCCGGTCATATTTTTGTCTGGGTTTACTTTGTGTGATATTAGTATAGCTACTCCACATATCTTTTTCATCACTTTACTTCCAACCTGTGTCTTTAAATCTGAAGTATGTACTTTTCCGTTTTCTCCATGTCTCTTTTGATGACTATTTGTACAATACCTTTTTCATTTACTTTCAACCTATTTGAGTCTTTAAAGTACGTATTTTTTAGACACCCATATAGTTGTATCCTGTTTCATTCTGATTTTAAAATCCAGTTTGACAACTTCTACCTTCCTATTGGTGAGTTTACTCTATTTGCATTTAATGTGATTATTGATATGGTGGGGTGTATGCCTTCCATTTTGCTATTTGTTTTCCACCTGTCTTGTGTAATTTTTGCCTTTGTCATTTTTTCTATGTTCCTTCATTACTGGCTTCCTTTGTGTTACACATATATTTTCTAGTATATCATTTAAATGCATTTTTTGGCATTTTGTTCGTTTGTGTGTGTGTGTGTGTATGTGAGACACTCAAATACACAGATGTTCTTTTCTTAATGGTTCCTCTAGCAATTGCAATAAGCATCTGACTCAAAACAGTCTATTTCAGATTAACACTGAGTTCTAATAATATGCAAAAACTTTGCTTTGCTATAACTGCTATAACTTCCTTCCCCACCCCTTCCTTCATGCCACTGTCATACAAACTGTTATAAGCACAGTGTTATTGGCACAGGTTTGCAACTGTGTCTTATGCAGTTTCCTTTTAAATCAGCTCAGAGAAGAAAAGTTTAAAACATGTCTGTACTGTCTTTTTAATTTATCTATGTAATTACTCTCAGCGGCGCCTTTTGCCTCAGCCTGAAGGACTCCCTTTCATACTTCCTGCAAGGCAGGTCTACCGGCAACAAATTCTGCATGTCTTGTTTATCTGAGCACAGGTTTAGTTATCTCTAGAGGTGAGTTTTACTGGATATGGAGTTCTTGGTTGACAGTTGCTTTCTTTCAGCATTTTAACTAGGCCATTCCACCGTCCTCTGACATCCATGATTCGGAATGAAAAGCTGGCTACTAATACTGAGCATCCCACTTACTGAGAAGCTGCCTTTCTCTTACTGCTTTCAGGACTGTTTCTCTCTGATTTTCAACAGTGTGGTTATGTGTCTATGAACTGCTTTTAATTTATCCCATTTGAATTTTGTGGGCGTTTTGGCTGCAGTGAATGATGCTCTCTCTCTTTCTATAACTCTCATTATGCATCCGTTTATGTGTTTATGGTGTCCCACATGCTCTGAGGCTGTGTTCATTTTTATTGATTCTTTCTTCTTTCTGTTCCTTAGTCTAAATAACCTCTTGATTTTTAAATTTTGTTGATTCTTCTTCTCTGCCAGCTCAAATCTGTTATCCAGCCTCTCTCATACATTTTTCATTTCAGTTCTTATATTTTTCAACCCTTTAATTTCTATTTGGCTCTTTTTAAAAAAATATTTCTATCTCATTATTGGTATTCTCTATCTGGTGAGATATATTTGCCACACTTCCCTGTAATTCTTTAAATGCAGTTTCTTTTAGTTCTTTGTGTATCTTTGTTCAGCTGATTTAAAGCCTTTGCTAGTCTAATACTCAAGCTCTCTCAGGGGCTACAGGATTTTCTTCCTGTGGATGGGACATGTCTTCATGTTTCTTTGCATGAATTGTGGGTTTTGGTTTATAACTGGAGGTGGCAGGTTGGCGACTCTGGACTGAGATTCCTGCCCCCGCCCGCCCCTCCCAGGAGGACCGTTTCCCAGCTTCTCCCTCTCCCTGGTTGTTGCTTATGTGATTCATGCCTTTCCTGGACAAATTATCTAGATGCTGTATTCCTTGCAGTATGTGGACACTGTGTTTTCTGTTCTCTCTCTTTTTAAATCTTCTTTCTGTCTTGAAACCAGGCTGCCTAGGGATCACTCTCAGGTTAGCAGAGTTTAATCGCTAGCTGTTACCAGCAGGAGGTTTCCCTAAATCCCGGAGCCACGAAGCGAGTCTCCTTCCTCTAATCCCGAAACCCGCGTGCCAGGACCTGCCTCCCAGCCACAGGCAGCTTTAGCTCTCACTTCTGCTTGCTGCGGTTTGGAGACCAGCCGGAGGGGCGTGGCCGGGGCCTCTCTTTTTCGAGCATTCACACGTCCATGTTCATAGGTGCCGTCCTCCAGGTCCCTGGGAACGTTCAGGTTTGTCAAAGTCCCCAGTGCCCTGGTCTGGCCAGGCTCGTCTGCTCCAATCGTGATCACTGGTTGGGGCAGCTCCCACAGTCACGACTACAGCCAGCGGTGACTGCGCCTGGGAACGGAGCTTTTCCAGGGAGCTCCATGACCGTCCAAACGCTGACCGTATCCGGGGATGGGGTTTTCAACAGAGCCCGGCTCCTCCGCAGTCTGTGGCATCACTGGCTTTCCACGGCGGTGTGCCCCGGGGCTGGAGCAGGGGTGGGGCGGGCCCAAGTGAAAACACCACAGTCTGGCTCGTCCTCCTGGGCTGCTTGCTTCTCCTTGAGTGAACGTGTCCGCAGCTGTTCTGTCCTCTCAGTTGATTTGACAGTGTTGCCATGTTCTTGCCGCGTTTTGGCGAGAGCTGATTCAAGACGCTCTCCGGCAGTTCAGAAGGCCTGCTTCTCTCCAGTCCTTCTCCGTGAAATATGCCTCAGCTGATGGAAACTCTTCAGCGAAAAACAGATACCATCTCCTCTCTGGCTTGCAAGGCCAACTCAGACTCGGGTGTTAGGAGTTCTCAGCAGAAATCTGTGCTCATCTCATCTCTAGTGGGAAAAAAATACTCAGTGGTAGAGCTGGGACCTTTGACAGCATGTGGGCACTGGGGCTGACGCTGGGGCGCTCCTGATTCTGCCTCGACTGACTCAGAGCAAATCCAGCGGCGTCTCTCTGCGCCTTGGTTTCCCCCGGGTGGAGGGTGAGTACCGGCAGTTCTGCCCGCCCGCAGCGCCGTTCTGCAGTTGAACATGCACAGAAGATCTAACAGGTCAGCTGGAACATACGAAGCTGCACATCAGGACCAATCTGATGCTGCCATTTGGGTCTCCTGTTCGCTTTCAAGGCTGACAGCGGGAATGACTCTCGTGGCACTGACAGAGATGACATCACGTGACAGAAGGTAACACTACGTGACAGAGGTGACACTATGGTTCGCACTGTCCTATCTTTTGAGACCTGGGCTTGGTGGGACGTGTGCGTCAGTTACTCACCGCTCCTCAGGAATCCACGTGCAGAAACACACTTCTGTATCAGGAAAATCACCTGACCGTGCCCAAGCTCGAGCGCCAGGGAGAGGCAGGTGCGCAGCACGAGGTTCTGGGCCCTGGCTGCGGTGGCAACACGGTCGTCTGACAGATGTAGGCAGAGCCCTCTGCTGCCCTGGCCGCCTCCCTCCGTCTGACGGGCTGTCAGCTGCTGGGCACTGAATGTGGCTACAATGCTTTTAAACACCTCGCTTGTGGCTGCATGCTCTGGAGATACAGCACAGCAGTGTGATGCGCTGGCTCCAATCTGAAAGTGTCTGTGAAGAGTGTGCATGCTTAAATAAGGAAGCTCTTTGAAACGTTTATACATCGGGAAGAGAAAACGCACGGCAGTGGGAAGAGGCAAGGCGACTTGATTTGAAACGGAGCCGATGCCATTTTAAATGTTTCTGTACAGATTTGAACCCATTTGTGGGAAGAAAACAGAGTGTATCTACACAAGAAAAATGCCAGCATTAACAATGACACACTCACGAATGCCTTACTGTTGCTCACAGCTTGCCTACGCAAAATGACAAACACGTCGCAAACACGCCCCACGCTGCCCAGACGCGCACTGGCGGCTGAATGTCAAGGCCTGCTCTCTGTCTGCTGCCACAGGCCGTGAATTTTCTTTGGCATGAGTTAGATCTGAATAGTGCTCATCACCCGAGCTCCATGAAATCTTCCCTCCTGCTGCTTCCGCTGCAACCCTGTGGCCCTCCCTCTGGTGCCCGATTTCAGACAGTCTCCACCTGATGCTGGGAACAAGCTAAGACCCACTTTTAAGGAGTCAAAGGCTGAAGGTCAATAGCTGAAAATGATCCCACCGAATTCCCTTTCAAGTACACAGAATTGGACCATAGACGGATATTTCAATGAGAAATGGCGTAGAATTCAAACCATTGAGGTCCACACTGAATGTCTTCAGGCAACCAGAAAAAGCACCCAGAACCTCACAGACCCCGAGCAGCAGCCCGTGGGTGGCACACAGGAGTGGGTGCCTCTCCTCCCTCCCCCTCACCTCAGGGAGGGACGGGCCACTGAGGCCTCACAGCCTGCGAGTCAGGGTGGGAGATGCAGCCCCTATTTTTAGAGAGCCTTGCTTGGTGTGCGTCTCAGCACCATCCTTGCCCCTGCACGGCCCTTCCTGAAGGGGGAGCCTCGCCTCTGCGGCTGCCCTGGGTGCTCCAGCAATGGGCTGCGAGCTCCCTTAGTAGCAGGCGTGCACCCGCTCTCGCCTGTCCCACCCATGGCCGTGGTCTCCCTGGCAGTGGCTGGTTGTCACCAAGTGGGAGCTAGTTTTCTAGAGAGAAACAGAATCGTGTGAGTCAACATCTGCACATTGGCCTGATGCGCTGCTGCCTGGCACACAGGTCTGGATGTGGCCTCCTGTGGCTACCTCACTCAGCCTCACTTGGACAATCACAGGGCACACAGGTCTGGACGTGGCCTCCTGTGGCCGCCTCACTCAGCCTCATTGGGCAATCACAAGGCACACAGGTCTGGATGTGGCCTCCCGTGGCCACCTCACTCAGCCTCACTTGGGCAATCACTGGGCACACAGGTCTGGACGTGGCCTCCTGTGGCCGCCTCACTTGGGCAATCACAAGGCACACAGGTCTGGATGTGGCCTCCTGTGGCTACCTCACTCAGCCTCATTTGGGCAATCACAGGGCACACAGATCTGGACGTGGCCTCCTGTGGCCTCCTCACTCAGGCAGTCACAGGGTGCACGGGTCTGAATGTGGCCACCTCACTCAGCCTTACTTGGGCAGTCACAGGATACACAGGTCTGGATACGGCCTCCGGTGGCCACCTCACTCGGGCAGTCACAGGGCGCACGGGTCTGGACGTGGCCTCCTGTGGCCGCCTCACTCAGCCTTACTTGGGCGGTCACAGGGTGCACAGCTCTGGATGCGGCCTCCCGTGGCCACCTCACTCAGGCAGTTATGGTGCACGGGTCTGGACGTGGTCTCCCGTGGCCACCTCACTCGGGCAGTGACAGGGCCTGCTCCCTGGGGAACAGCTCTGGGCCTGGGGCTGGAGGGCTCCTGGCATCGGGGAGAGCCTCTCCGGTGGCCTTGGAGAACCCGTTCCTGCAGCCTGGCCCGGCCCGGCCTGCCCCGCCGACAGCAGGCTCCATCTCTGGTGGTGTGCGGTGTGCGTTTTATGCCTCGAAACCCCCACACTGCAGTCCCAGGGCACCAAGCGCTGACCCTAATGAATGATTCGCATGGCTGAGTTCACCACTCCATCCATCACGCGGTAGCCGATGTCTGCAACGCTAACGACGCCGTGTTTGATCCTGCGCACAGACCCTTTCAATCATCCTCAGCTGCAGGGAAGGCCTCAGTCCTGGGCACCGGGCCAGGTTAGTAAAACTTTCCATGAGGAGAGCTTTTTGTTCTCTCTGGAGCAGCCCAGGCTCAGGAGGAGGGGCAGGTGAGGGGCAGCTCACAGCCCAGACTGCGGCAGACACGCTCCGGCTGCCTGGTCTACCTGCTTGTTGTTTTAATGACATCGAGACTTTCTAAACCCTCGTGCTTCTGAGGGACTGAAAGGCTTGATTGTGGCAGAGGCTGTGGGGCAGTCCAGGTGACACAGGGAGGCAAGGGCAGCAGACAAGCCCTGCACCGAGGGATGGCCGCTCTCCACAAGGATCCAGGGGGGACCATTTCAGCGGCACAAGCAGGTAGGCACCACAGGGAGCCCCGCGCGCCTCCGTTTCAGAGGACGGCCCTGCAAACGCTCTCGACGTGGGAGCCTGTGCCACGAAGCTGACCACTGTAACGTGCGATTCATCGAGAGTCCACCCGGGGGAGCCTCCTCATGGGCCTCCTCCACGACAGGAAATGCAAGAAAATCATGCTGGAAAAGAAGCCACATTGAGCCCTGTGACATATTTTCAAATCTACATTCAAAATAATGCAAGATATAGAAGGCGACTATTGAAACAATGAATCTCCGTGGCTTGACCATGCTTGGGAAGTCTGAGGGAAGCTAAATCTTGGGAAGAAACAAACTATCTTGTTACTAGAATTCATTATGGGTCAAGCACTTCTGAAACCCAACATGGGAGCAGAGAGAACTCGAAAGAAAAAAAAATCCTTTAAAAAAAAAAAGCTGAATTCATTTTTCCTTCTTTCTTTTTTTTGAGATGGAGTCTCACTGTGCTCCTCCCAGGCTGGAGTGCAGCGGTGTGATCTCGGCTCTCTGCAACCTCCATCTCGCGGGTTCAAGTGATTCTCCTGCCTCCACCTCCCAAGTAGCTAGGATTACAGGCATGCACCACCATGCCTGACTAATTTTTGTATTTTTAATAGAGACGGGGTTTCACCATGTTGGCCAGGCTGGTCTCGAACGCCTGACCTCAGGTGATCTTCCTGCTTCAGCCTCCCGGAGTGCTGGGATTGCAGGTATGAGCCACCACATCCAGCTTTGTTTGTCATTTTGAGGCTTGGATTCCTTAAGACACACAGGACGTGGGTCGTGCGTGACCTTCAGGTTCCTGTGGACAAGCGGAGGCTTCCAGGGAGGAGACTGTGATGTGAAACGTCCTCCCCAGACCCCTTGGGAATGCAAACGCGGACACTGTGCCCTCCCCACACACACTCTGCAACTGGACAATATTCTAGTATTGCATTTTAACTCTACATTCCTGGAAAAGAAAATCAAAACCCAAACAAAACAAGTGAAAAACCTGTACACACAAAATAAGCTTTCTCTGTCCTCATGGGCCGCCAGTGTCTGCATCATTGCGCACGGGAGGAGCCCCAGATCGCATTGGCTGCCTCTGCCCAGCGGCGCACGTGAAGCCAGCAGCAAAGCCCTGAAGTGACTCGATTCACCGACCCACGGCTCTGGTTCTGGTCAGGCAGAGGGAAGCCCCTCAAAACGGCTGGGTGTCCAGGGGTCAGGGCTGGGTCTCCAGCCCCGTGAGGACGTCCCGGCACTGGCCCGGACCCTTCACCTACAAGGCACCGCTGTTTGGTTTGCAGGGTGCTGAAGGCTAACTCCGCACCTCACGCCAGGCTTGCTGGCCCTGGAGGCAGCGGCGGGGCCAGCAGATGGCAGAGAGAAGCCAGGGAAGCTGGGAACCAGGATCCAGAGGGGCTTCCATCACCTATGATGCCACATCCTGCCACAGGCGCCTCACGGGGCTCAGGGTGGCCGGCAGGTCCCGGCCGCCTGTCCCTTAGGCCTGTTTACAAACATGGCCGGGGTATCTGAGTCCTGCCCCAGCCGCACTGACTTCTCTTCTGCTTCCTCCCACCCCAGTGTTCCTCCCTCGCCTGTTGCATAAACACACACGAACAGTGGCCACTTTCCACCCACTGAGGACACGTGACACGCACGCGCCAACTTCTGATCTGGGTTTCGTGACTGTTTCTGTGTCCCATCTCTACTCCCTCGCCAGGTGCTGGGATTGTCCCTTGGTGGGGGGCCCTGTGCTCCCCACTCCTCTCCGCTCCCCCACTCCAGGTCACCGCTTTCTAAGCCAGCAGCTGAGCCCCAGGGTGGGTGCTGAGGTGCCCAGTTCTCTCAGGGAATGTGAAATTAGACAAAATATACATTAACTAAACCAGCACCACCCAGACTCACCCCAGCCCGCCTCTTTCATCAAGGTGGCCCCTGCGTGGCCCCCCACATTTCCCTGGAGCTCACTGGGGTCTGGGGGACTCAGGGGTCCACCTCGTGATTCAGGTCTTCGTCCTGCATGAGGCTTTCCCAGCCCAGCCTGGGCCCCAACCTCTGTTTGTGTCATGGTGTTTGTGAGCCTGGGGTGAGGGTTCCACCTCAGGGCAAGCCAGAGGTCATCTGCAGGAGAAGGGCCAACCCAGACTCAACCCTGACCCAGGACCCTTCCCGGCCATCTTGGGGGATGCTCCAGCCATCTTCTCACAAGGACAGGCAGCACCCCATCTATGGCCCCATCCACCCAAGATTCGGGAAACGGCTTGGCCCACATCACTCTCAGTGAAGGCTTTGACCACTCAGCTCCAACAGAGCAATAAACAGTCGAATCTGCTCTTCACCAGGGAGGGACAGGTATCTAGAGTGGGTAGACCTGCCCCCAGCTGCTCAGGAGGGACCTGGAGCCCACGGCCTGGTGCCTGTCTCATGGGGTTGCAGCAATGTCAGGCCTGCACCAGGGACCCCCCACCCTGACCCAAAGCCTTCGCCTGACCAGGGTCCGCCCACCTGCACTCTCTCAGCCCCTAGGACTCACCCCTCCCCTTCACACCCACCCTGAGCAAAACTTCCTCTGCGACCCGCCCCAGTTGCCCGCCTCTGAAGGATGAAGAGGGGCTGTCTGTCCACGGGGACAGGAGGCCAGGCCATGGCTGACGCTGCTTCCAGCTGCCCAAAGCCTGAGCTCCTGTGGTCCTGGCTGAGCATCGAGAGACCTTGCAGGTGGAGATGAAATGGACGACGCTCACCACGGCACAGATAGGTGTCTGCACAGCTGTCTCGACCTCCACCCCAACCTGACCCCCAAAACAGCACTGCCTAGTGCCATACGCTAAACCAAAATGCTTGTGTGTGGCTGGCCCCATATTACGGAAACAGAATGAACACAGGACCGTAAACTGTGCCCAGAAGAGCGTGCGGGGCTGGTGCTCGGGGTCTGTGCTCGAGGCTCCGGGGCCAGCCTTGGGCCTGATAAGACGTACGTGGACCGGGGCAGTGGGAGGCTGGTGCCAGGCTCCAAGGCCAACTCTGCTTTGGCAACACAGAAACCCCTGGGGCTTCTGAACAGGATGTGGCCCACGAGATCCGACTTCTGGGAAGATCACCGCGCCCCAGAGTGTGATGAATGGGGAGAGGGGCCTGCCGGGACGTGAGCTCACCCAGGGGAAGGGCTGTCCTCCGTGTCCCGAGGGCGGGGCACCAGGACTCGGGGAGATAAACTTTCTTAAACGGGGTGAACAAGCGCTTTACAGCGGGTACGTCAGGGGCTCCAGGGTCCCATAGGTGGTCAGGAGAGGCGCCAACGGGGCGTGTCCTCGGGCACCTTCAGAGGACCTGCAGGCCAGGCCCAGGCCCACAGCAGATGCACTCCAGCCTCAGCCTTCCCTGTGTCCAGGGGCCATCCGTGCACCCCACTCGCCTCTCCCGGGTCCCGTTCCCTCCATGTCCACGCACAGCTGGGCCACCAAGGCACGGTCACATCCACACTCATGCAGCAGTCTGTGTGCTCGGACAGCCCAGCCTCCGTGGCCCCCAAGGCCGGCCTGGCTCACTTAGCTTTGACCTCTAGGACCAAGGCCTGAGAGGCCCGGGCCACTTGGTGAGGCTTTGGCAGAAATGGGTGGGGTGGGACGCCAGCCTCACCTGCTGTGTTGACATGGAATATGCCCTCGTCCCCAGCAACCCCCTCAGTCTTGCCTGCCCCGAGTTCCACCCTCGCCACAAAGCCACACGTGGACCCCCGGGCAGCAGAAACATCAGTGAGACCTACTTCCCACCTGGGCCTGCAGGGTGCTGCCCAGACATGGGAGCCCAGGGCTGCCACAGCTGGGACAAGACGTGGCGGGCGGGAAGAGACCACGTGAGACAAGGCCGGGGTGAGGGATAGGAGCCGTGGCAGTCAGCGCCCCCCTCGGCCGGCGTCCACCCACACAGTGTCCACCTCACACAGAGGCTGGGGGGGAAGGCAGAATCTGTCTGTGCTCAGCAGGGAACAGTGCAGGGACATGGCCCCATGCAGAGCTCCAGTGGCCTTGTGAGTGGACGAGGAGGGCAGCGGGCAGATCAGACAGCAGGAGCTTCAGGACACATCTGCACAGGACACAGACCTGGTCCTGGCCCTGACTCACGGTCATCACAAACCTCCAGAGAGTGGCCGGGGCAGCCATGGGCCACCAGTATGGTTTTGAGGGATAGCCCCGGGGAGGCGGCAGCCTCCTGAGTCGACAGGTACACTCCTGCAAGCCCAAAAACAGACGGCGGGGGCTGCAGGCTCCACGGGACACACTCCCACAAGCTCACACGCGGACAAAGTCCAGGCCCCATGAAATATACAACCTCAAATTCACACACACACCAGGGATCCAGGCTCAAGAGTTGAAAATTTGGGGGGGTGGTGCTGATGTATCTGCATGCATCCTCCTTAAAAAGCTTGGAGCCTTCAGTCAGAAACCAGCAGGAAAGCGTTTGGCAAGGCCTCACTCCCTGCCCAGCAGATGGGAAACCCAGCTCCAGACGCCCCGGAATCCTGCCCCAGAGGTCAGGAGAGGCTGATGCCGCCCCCTCCCTGGAAGGCCGAGGCTCGCCTGGTCCTCAGGCCTCGGGGCAGGAAGTGAGCAAGGCTCCGGTGTGTCTGCTGGAGCCCTGGCCTGGGAAACGTCTTATACTCGGGAGGACTCACTGTGCGCCCGACGGGAACGAAGCCCAATCCCCACACAAACCACGCAGGCAGGGATGGAAAAGACAGGCCGAGTCGCACTTGAACGTGTGGTCACCAGGGCTGCGGGCACCTCCCTGACCACAGCGTGGCCGCATGCAAGCTGGGCTGGGCCGTCAAACAGAAACGCTCGCCAAGAACGCAGCGGCGTTCGGTCAGCACTGCTCACAGGAAGGACTGCGTGCTTGCTGGAGTTCCCGTGCCACACGCCTGGCCACAGACGTGAGGCCACTTCCTTCCCATGCAGCCCCAGGTGCGTGATGTTCAGTGCGCCTCCATGCTGTGGGAGCCTGGACAAGGGAGGCCCCGCGCCCAAGGCCTGAAGGCGCCGTCCCAGGCCCCCAGCATCATGGCCATCCTCCAAGGTCCTGCCAGGCGGCCACGACCATTAGACGTGTGCACAGAGCCACACAGTGCAATGTGCACACCACCCCGGCTAAGCTGTCATCTACAAGCCATCCACGGGACTCAGTGGCACCTGTGATGCCCCAACTGCAGAGGCCGGCGCCTCCTCTAGCCAGGGCTTTGAGCCTGAGCCTGAGCCAAGCCGCTCGGCAGTCAGCTGCAGTCGCAAACCTGGGCATGCAGCATGAGCCTCAGACCCCGGGTCAGGCTTCGCAGGGGGTCTGCAGCCAAGGGACCCACCAGAGCCCCACGCCGCCATCACCAGAGCAGGGTCTCGTGGCAGGCACCCTGGTGCCGCGGCAGCACATGGGCACTGCATGTCAGGAGGACACACCCACGCCTCACCCGGCGCCGGGATGCACGTCCCTGCGCCACACACACACATCTCCTCCATGAGCTCGCGACACGGCGCCGGGCTGGGCACACATCGGCGTGGCCACGGGCACTCACCGTCGTCCAGGTACAACTGGTCCAATTCTTCCGGCTCTCGCTTGACCGTTACAGGAATAGGGGCCAAGTTAGGACTACCGTCCTCACGGGCCTCTGGCAGCGGCCGACGCCGGGCGGTCGGAGACTCGTCCCTGCGGACCGTGGGCAGCGGGTGCTGTAGGCGGCCCGTGGCAGGCGGGCACGCTGGGCTGCAGGGCTGCAGGCAGGTCGGCTCTTGGGTGGCGGGCGGGAGTGGAGGAGAGGGACTGCTGGGGCAGAGTGAGTGTTCCAGCCCAGGGGTGTGGCTACTGCTCGGAGGCGCACTCACCTGCTGTGGAAGCAGGGCCAGGGGCGGCTGTCCGGGAGAGCTGGGGTGCGTGGCCGCTGGCCTGGGCACGTCCTGGACGGCAGGGGTGACGGTGGGGGCCTCTCCGGCCGGCGGTGGGAGCCCCAGGTGACAATGGCCTGAGCTGGCGATGGCCTTGGAGTAGGCAGTGGGAGAAAGGTCGTGGAGCTTGGGGCTCATGCCGGGGGCTACTGGCATCAAGGCGCCTCTCTGCGGACAGGCAGGGACGCCAGCCACGAGGCAGGAGCTGGGGTCGGGCGGCATGGCCAGCTGCTGGCTGAAGTACGGTCTCGGGAGCGGACTTAACCCCTGGCTCACCGGTCCACAGGTTGGAGCAGTCTCAAAATCATCAGTGGGTTCTGTTTTTATAATTGGAACTGTGAGAAGGGGGAGAAAAGTTAGATCAACACGAGTTGCAGATGGGTATGATCAGACAGGCTGGTGGGGGGACACCCTCCGCAGAGCCAGCAGCTCTGACTGGTCCCTCTGTCTCCTGCCTGGTTCTCCCACCCCATTAAAAAAAGGCATGAGTCATCGGCCCAGAGAGTGGCAGCTGGTTCTAATACCGGCGAGGACTGTTTTCCTTGGCCTCTCCACCGGCTCTAACGCGCTATAAAAGTCCACTTGCAAACGGCAGTGGAAGTCCCGGGCCCAGGGGCCTGTGGATTTGTAGGAATCAAAGTGAACATTTGAACTTGGACACACGACGGCACGTCTGCTCCCGACGCTCGGTGTGGTAAATGTCTGCACGTTTGGTAAACTCGAACACGCAACAAGACAGCTTTCAGGAGTCCGTAAAACTCCAACTGTAAACGGGAACGACCACTGGGGGCGAGAAGCATCAGTCACTGAGACAGAAAGACGCCCTCGCTGAGGATGCAACGCCTCCACAGTCCCTCCCAGTCCCTCTGAAAGGGGTGGGCTGTGTGCAGGCAGTGACCCAACAGCCTAGGACGGAACGCGGGGTTCCTGAGTTTCTGGAGACTTCTCCCACCCAGCCCTCCCGAGAAGGCGGGGGCTGCGGGGAGGAGCCTGCAGGGCAGGCACTGGGTCCCCAAGGCTGCTGCGCCAGGCCTGGCCCAGAGCCGACGCCGGCTCCCGCCTCGCACCCGTGCCTTGCACCCACCCCGGGCCTCTGCACCGGCTTCTGCAGGGTGTCGGGAAGGCGGTGGGCAGGGCATGCAGTCAGCGGAGAGGCAAGGCGGATCCCAGCCAGCATTCCTGCGGCTGCTGTTTTCCTGTTGGTCTCAGGCCTCTCGTGCTACTTAGAAGAGACACAGACGGCTCCGTTGCTCTGAGGCCCTCGCTATGGCGCACGTAAATTCCCAACAGATGTGAGCTGCCGCTCTGAGCGAACGCAGCGCGGACGGTGAGCTAACATCAGGTCTCCTCGTTCCGTTTTCTCTTCCCCGTGAGCTGCACACCAGTGGGTTCTGGCAGTGGGGTTGGCCACAGGGAGAGAAACTCCCCTTCCATCACCACCTGGGGTCTTCGCGTGGCCCCCAAAACCTGCACACAGGCTCCCTGCGCAAACACTCACTGCCGCCGAGGGCCCAGGCAGCCTCCTGCAGTCAGTAAAAGCATTTCCGCAACTCGAGAGAAAATCTTTAGCCCTGGGCTTCAGCCCGCAAATCCACGCAGCCGTTCCCCACCATAGCCAGGGTGCCGAGGGTCCGCCAACAGCTGCGAACCACAGAGACACGTTTTCCCACAGCGCATGGCGCGAGAGCCCCTGCGCTACCTGCAGCTCCCCTGTGGCGCCCACCACAGAGAGCTGGGAAGAGCTGGCCACGCCTCCTCCCTGCCACACTGGGCCATCACAGGCAGTAACCCATAGGGGCCGTTCCCAGCTGTAGCATCTCACCAGCCTCCGAGTCTGAGGAGGTCAGCCACTTTCAACCCTGGGATTCCGCAGAGTTGCTGCACTTTGTTGCTTTTGTGCTCTGACTTTTCAATTCCCTCCTTTTATTCAATCATTCAAATCTTTACTTCATCCACTCTGCACGCTGAGTAGGGGGGCTGACGTTTAAAGCGTATGCTGCAAGCTGAGTAGGTCAAGGTAAAATGTGGCACGTATCCACCACGGAATACTATGTAGCCACAAAAAAGGATAAGTTCACGTCCTTTGCAGGAACATGGATGAAGCTGGAAACCATCATTCTCAGCAAAGTGACACAAGAACAGAACACCAAACACTGCATGTTCTCACTCATAAGTGGGTGTTGAACAATGAGAACACATGGACACAAGGAGGGGAGCATCACGCACTGGGGCCTGTTGGGGGATGGGGGTGCTAGGGGAGGAATAGCAGGGGTTGGGGGGATTTTGGGGAATACCTAATGTAGATGACAGGGCATGGAGACAGCAAACCACCATGGCCCGTGTATAGCTACGTAACAATCCTGCACGATCTGCACATGTGCCCCAGAACTTAAGAGTATAATAGAAATAAAAAAATTAAAAAATAATAAAGAATCTGCCCTGCACACTGAGTAGGGAGGCCGAGGTTTAAAGCATCTGCCCTGCACGCTGAGTACAGAGGCCGAGGTTTCAGAGGGGTGCTGACGTCTAGGAGGCAGGAGGAAAATCACACGGCCACCTTGATTCTAAGGCCTTCCCGGGACGCGGCCTGCAGCTCCCTGACTGGGGCCCATTCATCTAGCCAGGCTCTGCTGAGGGTCGTGCCAGCCTTACCTGGGGCTCGCAGACCTGGCGTCACCAGCCTTTGGCCTGGGGCAGGTCCGGCCACAGCTACCGCGGCGAGTGTGGCCCGAGCCACACTATAGCTGCGTCTATAGTGGCACCCAGGGCGGGGGCGGGATGGGTGCTTCCCCAGCCTTGTCCACTCTGCAAGCACCACTGGGGTCACGCTGGAATCACACCCCAGGAAGCAATGGCCACGTTTGGGGTGACATCACAATTCCGTTGTCCCAGCGGTGAGGCCTAGCGGGTCCCATGTGAAGCCGCCGCTGCTCTGGTGTGAACTTTGGGAGGAGCTGGAGACTGCGCCAGCGCCTGGCACCCGCCCTGGAGTGCTGGGTCGGTTCCTGCAGAGAGGTCTCTGCTTCCAGCCACCTGAGTATGGACTCCCGGGGCCGCATCTTCAGCAGAGGGTTCACAGATGGGGCGGAGCCCAGGACTGCCTGCACAAGTGGGGGGCTGCTGAGGGGGGGTGCCCTCACATTGACCGGGTAACCCCACCCCCTCGCTTCTCGTTAGGACGTCGAACATCTGAGCCATGGGCAGCAACACCTTTTTTAAGGGGTGGGGGAGTCGGTGCCTGGGGGGAGGGCTCTGACCACCGTCTGGAAACCCCAGGGCTGGGGACATTTTCATGCAGGGGGACATGTGTGTCGGCTTCAGGCCGTGCCCCCATTGGCTCTGTGCAGGCAGCTGGGCCTTGGGAACCGTCCCTCCCCTCCGGTTCCAGCTTCAAGCCTGAGGAGCCCACAACAAAGCCGGATGACGGGGAGACCCGGGGCAGGGCGTGGCCAGCGTTCCCCCTGAACTCAGGCCTGCGCCTTCCAGAGGCGCTGGGGTCGCCTGAAACAGGCCCAGACGTGGGAGTGCGACACTAGTGGGCACCCACGTCTCTCCTGCTCAGAAGAGGCTGCCATCCTGAATAGCCCAGCCTCCACTCTTAATGAGGCTGGTAATTTCCAGTTTACGATCTTAAGCAAAAGCACATGGCTGGAAGGTTAAATTAAGGCCCCGCGGGGATCCTCTCTCCACACACGGGATTTTCAGCCAGGGCCCAGAAACGTGGCCAGGCGTGGGGGCTAGCACTTTTTCGTAAAGTGTCCCCTGAGCTCTTTAAAAACGCTCACCCAACAGCTCTGCCTGACACTAGAGGCACCGCCCAGCAGAGCTGTCCCATAAATGACCGTGGCCATAAATTAGCCACCCCATGGCCCAAGGCTGGTGATTCAAGAAAGCCGGCGGGCTGAGCGGCCGGGTGGCGTCTGTTGCTGCTGGCCAGACCACGCCGGAGAACCCCGCGCAGACACGGCCCGCTGAAAAGCGCAGTGGCACCAGCGTCCACTCCTGCACCTCCCCAGCCACTCGGATTCCTCCTCCCAGGGAAGTCCTGGCCCAGGATGGGGGTGGTGAGGGGCACGTGGCGCTGGGACATGTGAGCCACCTCCCTGGGCATCAGGACACACGGGCTGCTTGCCCTGCGGAGCGGAGCAGGCCCAGTGCTGATGTGTCCGCCACCCCAGGGCAAGCAGAGGCTGAGTGGACGCTTCACTGGGACCCCGCCAAATCTAGGTAGCTCCGTTGCCCCACCCACAGCAGGCACTCCCTCTCTTCCCAAGGCCAGAGGCTGCGGCAACGCGCGCCTCTCAGGAATGAACTCATGTGCCCTTGACCGAGACGGTCCCACGCCGCCCGCCGCTGCCCTCCCCTCCTGAGACGGTCCCACGCTGCCCGCCGCTGCCCTCCCCTCCCGAGACGGTCCCACGCCGCCTGTCGCTGCCCTCCTTCCCAGAGCTATTTGCAGGGAGCTGGAGGCGGTGACTTCAAACCCAGGGGCACCACATGTGCCCCGCCCATGACAGCATCTTGTGAGTCTCAGAGCCGGTCGCGGTCCCTTGGCCCAGGTGGGCCTGTGCGTGAGCTTTGATCGACACCTGTCCTGGGGCCTGGCATGGCACCCAGACCTGATGGGTGGAGAATAAAGGCGGGAACAGATGGGTGAATAGCACCACCCAAAGCCACACACACTGTAGGCGGCACCTTTGTGCGCACCGTCCGGTAAACGCCCTTCCCTGGACCCGCAGCCTCGCTGAGCATGTTCTTGGAAGATCTGAGGGCAGCCACCCGCAGCCTGAATGGGACACGGCAGCTTCTGAGGAGGCCGCACATGTGAATTCCCATCCACACACCACTGGCCGTGTGACGCTGAGACCCCTAAATCCCGTGAGCCCGTCTCCCCAGCTATAAGGCAGAGGTGACAAGACCTGAGAATGAAAATTGGCCTGAGTGACATGGCGGCAGGCGAGAGCCCACGCAGTCCCGGCTTCCTGAGGTTGGCGCCCACAGCTCCCGGCTCTGGGGGCTCTGTCTGTAGCACAGGGAGCACCTGCAGGTGGGCGGGGGGGGCCCTGGGGGCAAGAAGGGGCTCTGGGGATGGGCAGGCAGGGGGCAGGGGCAGGGGCAGGGGCAGGCCCAGCCCTTCAGCTTTAGACAAGCGGGGTCACTGCTACAGGTGGAATCGTGTCCATTCAAGCTTGTGTTGAAGCCCTAACCCCCGTCCGGTTGGCTCTACTTGAAGATAGGGCTTTCGGGAAGCAGCTGGGGTTAAAGGATGTCACTAGAGTGTGGCCCTGATCCCATGCCTGGTGTCCCATGAGGAGAAAGACACAAATGTGCCGTG